TAAAATTTTTACTCAGTAATGCTACTTAAACGTGTGGCTATTTAGAAATAACCGGAAATATTATTTCACAAGAAAATAACTGGACTATAGGCTACTATGTCAGTAGTTACATTGCACAAAAGATTAAAAATTTAATATGACCATTGTAATTTAAAAAATGTATAGATAATATGTTGATTCATTAATCTCTTATCTAACAATTATTGTTGAATAAATTAAAGGTATAGTTTATAAAAATTTAATTTTAATCAAAATTGTATGAAATTTCATTAGGTACTTATGTTTAATTTATTACTAATATAAACTTAAATACATTTTACRGTGAATTTTACAAAAGCTTGACAACAATCTTTTATTAATTTCATATAAATTGTTAATAATCTCTAAAATATATAGTTCTATAATATGAAAAAATAAAAAGTCCTAACTGTAGACCGTGGTTCCTTCTTCAACATTATATTAAACTATATTAAAATAATATAAAATTTAACATGAATAAATAAATAAATAAATGTTTAAACCAGCAATAAGTATATAAAAATAATATCTACTTAAACTTTAAAAAAAAAGTTAAAAATATGTYACATTTTGTGATCATTCACAATAGCAATAGACAAAACTGAGAAATAAACTATTATTAACTTTAGATTCCAATAAATTTAACACAGCCCAAAAATTTGTTAAATTTTAAGTAGTTGGCCAAATCGTTTTTACTATGCATTCAACTTATTGAATGATAGCCTTATACCATCCTTTGCCTTCAGCAACATTGAGTGTTTGCTGTATTCATAAGGCACAGTCATTTGGTTACTAAGATCAATTGAAAAGTCTTTTAAGAGATGAACCATTCCTCTCTTTGTACTCATCAAGGCAAATCGTAGACCTAATAAAACACATATAAGAACTTAGAACATTATGCTATAAGTTTTAATAGGTGTGTTGATGAACACGCTTATTTGAAACACATACCAATGCAATTTCTTGGCCCAGTTCCAAATGGTAAAAAAACATAATGTGAACGTTTAGCTTTTTCTTCTGGAGAAAATCGATTTGGATCAAATTTGTAAGGATCTGGATAATATTCTGGATCATAATGTAACCCAATGACAGGTATTTGAACGGTCATACCTTTTTTCAGTAATAAGTTGGAATCAGGCAGCGTATAGTCTTGGGTACTCACACGTTCTAATTGTGCCACAGGTGGATGCATTCTCAAGGTTTCTAAATAGAAATAAGTTTTTTTTTTCAAAAAAATATATATGAATTTGATAATGATTTTTGATTACAATTTTAGGTATGAGACTAGCATGATACTACATACCCATCAATACCATGTCTAATAAAGGCATTTCTTGCATCGCTTCATAAGTGCATTTGCCATTAAATCGTTTTAAGACTGAACATATTTCCTCTCTTAGTTTAACCTGTATGGTTTGATTTATTGCCAACTCATAACAAGTGAAAGTCAACAATGTACTTGACGTCTCAAACCCAGCAATCAAAAACAATACAGATTGAGCAACTACTTGAGCTTCAGTCAATACATCTAAAATCAATCCCAATTCACTATTTTTAGTTGTTGGTAAATAAGTTTTATGATCATTATAAGATAAATGTTTTGTGTTGGGTATAATAGTTATTTGTTATTATTTTTTTAAATTAAACACAGTATCTAGTAAAAACTTAAAAATGTATTTACCTTCTTTTGATTTTGATTTATCATTTTTATCTAAATCAGTTTCACTATCCAGTAATAACTGCAAGAAATCGTTTCGCCTTACAAAAAATCAGAAAAAAATTATTTTTAGCATTTTTAGTCAATGTTTCTATAATTTA